CTTGTAGCTTTCACTTGCTAGGAAGCAAGGCTAAGTAGAGAAGCAAGCACCACTGATTAAGGTTTTCCTCCGGATTGATAAAGGAATTATTAATGCCTCTGAATACTTAACAGCTAATGCTGTGCTCTGGGCAATGAGAAATCATTTGTACATTTATTTCCCAATTACTATTAACATTACACATGATGTAGTTTATTTCCAGCCTTACACCAGCTCAAATTATGCTAAGTGTTTTTCAGTAATAGCTATTATCCTTGTAATTTGCACTTTTTATATACCGATGTACAAAAAAAGAAGCACAATTTGTGAGTGAATGCAGCTTAATGCTCATTTTTTGCATTGGATATTTTTTAAAAACAACAATTGTCTTGAAAAGTTCTATGTGCTAATTTAATGACTGGAGATGAGCAAATTGATATGCTAAGTTCAATATTCACCCTAGATAGGGCTGATTCACAGCTGGAAGAGATTTATAACTACAGCCCACTTTACAGCTGCAAACAGACTTCTTATAGGAAACTTAATTAACATTTGAAATAGATTGAAGCGTAGTATAAAAGTCTGGCAAATGAACTTTTTATGCCTTTAAAATGACTTTAAAAAAGGACATGTGAATGTTAGTTGTGCAAGGAAGTGAAAGGTTTTGACATCAGTTCAGATAGAAATTTTTCACAGTAAGAGTAGTTAATGTTGTTCTAAATGCAGATGGTTTTTTACCTTAATGTATTCTCTGCATGAAGGTAAAAAAAACCTTTGTGTTCTCCTCCCCCCCAGCTCCCCCTTATACTTACCCGAGCCCAATCTTGATCCAACACTGTGCTCTCTCCTCTCTCTCTCCTCACTGGCCTAGAGGCAGCAGAGGGAGCCATTGGCTCCTGCTGTTGTCAGTCATAGCCAGTGATTGAAGTATATCATGACTGAAATACTGTATACAAAGTGTTTTACATTTTAGGTTTATAATCACTTTAGCATGTTGAATGCCTCACTGTATAAGGTTGTAATGACAACATCAACAAGGGAAATTACAAATAGACATATCTCTTATAAGTAATGTTAACTACATTTACAATTACTGAGAGAAAAATGGTAGCCTTTTGACCCAAGCAATTAATCCAACTCTTTTTAGGAGTCAAGAAGCATTTTTTTCATTTGTAGAAACAGTTGTCTGGGGCATGTTATTTTCCTCTGTTTAAACACAGTTTTGTGAAGTTAAATGTAATATACACAAGTTTTTTTAAACCATATTAGTTAGATAACTACAGTATAGAACCATTCAAAAGCCTGTAACCTCCAAAATTCTTTCTGTACTTTTGCCTGTTCATTTAAGACCTCATCTGTGTTTGAAGTGGCTCTAAAGGCAGACTTTTTTTACCTTCATGCATTCTATGCTTGAAAGTTAAAAAAAACCTTCTGCGTGCAGCTTCCCCCAGCCCCTCCTAATATTTCCCTGAGCTCCATCCCGATCCAGCACAAGAGCATTGGCTCTCCCAGGTCTCTCCAATCCTCATTGTCTGAGACAGCAGTAGTAGCCATTGACTCCCACTGCTGTCAATCACAGCCAGTGAGCCAATGAGGAGAGGTCAGGGCAAGGCTGAGCTGCACTCCATATGTGAATGGACACACAGAGCAGTGGCTTGGGAGTGAGCTTTCTCGGGTGCCCCCATAGCAAGCTGCTTGCCATGGGGGCACTAGGCAGAAGAGAGGGGCCTGGAGTGCAAGTGGGGAACAAGAAGAGGATGATTGGGGCTGCTCTGTGTAAAACCATTGCACAGAGCAGATAAGCATGACACGTTTGTTATTAAACAAAGCCTTTAATATCATTTTAAGCAATATTTTACAGTTTGTAAAAAATAATTAGACTTTGCCTGTTGCTTTGTATTAGTTGTTAATCAAAATTGGTCCTGTGCCTAGCACATTAATATCTTTCATAGTAGACAAATCTTTGTTTGATAACTGTGTATAGTCTTTTCACCTTAGAACATCATTCAACACTGAAGCTAAATGTGCTGACTCAAAGTAAAGCATGGGAAGATATGCCCTGATGTGCTCCACAGGTATTTTTCTCCTCAAGACAATTGACTTAGACCAGCCTCATCAGGGAATGCCTGTACTCTCTTAATAAACAGATTTTTTTCTTTTTTAGATACAGTATATTATAGATATCAATATTAATACAAAAACCTAAAAACCCTGTGCAAACACAGGTGTTAATCTCTTTCAAGTTTGGTTTTCAAGATGTGGTTTTCAATAAACTGTTTCACAAAACTAGCAGTCGAGTAAGTTGCTATAGGTTGGTTTTTGTATTTAGATCTATCAAAGGCAGACAATTTAAAACTAAAATACATGATGACACCTCCATAGGGCTTCTTGTTTCATCACTTTGTATGGCAGATTCATATGTTATGCATAGGTAGCTCATGACCAGACCTTGACAAGTGACATGTCATGAATATTCATCTAGTATAGTGTCTCAGGAAGCAGACTGTCTTGAGTATTTCTTGACAAGCTAATCATATTTTGTCTTTGATTGTGACAAGCACTGCAAATGAATGCATAGTGCAGTTAAAGTGAATGTACTCTGCTAATGTGATTGAGCTTAACGGCCAATAATTTTCACTGAAATTTACACCGGTTTTATAGTAAAGGAAAATTTAAAGAATCTGTATGTGTCAGTAATGACATTCAATGTTCCTATATGCATTTTAAAGGATTGAGATTACATCACTATGTGATGTAGAAACATTTTTTCAAAAATTTATAGCTGTTCAAGTATATATTTAAACACATCAAGCAAGCCAGAGCATTCAGAAAAGTTCAAAATAACTTTTCAGTTTTCAGGCCAAAATGTTATTTAAACTACTGTGTTCAACTAAGTTAAACTTAATGCATCCATATTTATTAACCTAGCTAAAAGGAACCATAAATAGTTAGCTGGGTTGAAAAAAAGACACAAGTCGAATATCAAGTTCCAATATATAAAATAAATAGGTAATATATAAAAACAACCTTTAATTCTCAGAACCAGTAACCCTTAGTTGATTAACAAAAGGCAGAATACTCATAAAAAGTTTCAATTTAAACCTATAAGACTATAAGTGGAAACAGTTCCTACCAAACAAACTTATGTTTCCCTCTCTTCATGTCACTCTTCATTCAATAATCCTAGTAGCTTTAGAAGGTACAGATTAGCATTGTCTGCTCTCATTAGGGCTGATTTACTAAAACTGGACAGTGCAAAATCTGGTGTAGCTCTGTACAGAAACCAATCACCTTCCAGGTTTTTTTTTTGTCAAAGCTTAAGTTGATTGGCTACCATGCACAGCTGCACAAGATTTTGCACTCTCCAGTTTCAGTAAATTAACCCCATTATGTCTGTGATCTACAAAGATGACCAGATATTTCTCCATCAATGACTCACACACTTTAATTTCCACCAGTATGAATTTTCTTGTTTGTTTGTGATCCAAAAGAGCACATTTCTACGTTTATCCACAATGAACCTCAGGTGCCAAGTTGCTGCTCAACCAACCAATGTATCTAGCTCACTTTGTAAAGGAGAGAAAACTAACTTGTGGGCAATGGTCTTTGTAAGCTGGCCCTGATTTACAAACTGCAATTTCTAAACCTATACATCTTAATTTACACATGTTTAGTCATGTGTGGGGAACTGCATCAAATGTTTTAGCAAAGTTCAAACCCTGGCAAGCAATCATCCTATTCTATTCTCGTGCCTTCTAATTGTCCAATAAATCTATTTATTGGACAATAAAACTATTACCTTAATAAAGCTGGGTATGCATATATCGAAATGTGCCTGGTTCAGAAGGAACTGGATGAATTTTGATGTGTATTACCCTATCTGTTCAACAGATGCCGATCATTAGACTGGTTTCTGATGAGCAATCCTGCTAGAAAACCAGCATTTGATAAGCAAGCAAGCCATTATCTTATTCTCATGCCTTCTAATTGTTCAGTAAATCCTCCTATCACCTGACTAAAGCTGGATATGCATGTATCAAAATTTGGCTGGTTCAGTAGGAACTAGGCAAATTTTGATGTGTGTTACCCCTCTCTGTTCAAAAAGATGCTGATCGTTAGACTGGTTTCTGATGAGCGGACCTACTGGAAACCCAGCATTCAATCAGCAAGCCAAATGGACGAATTTCGATGTGTGTTGCCCCTTTCTGTTCAACAGAAGCCAGTCACAAGACTGATCATTTCTGACGAACAGATTTCTGCAATGGCTGATTGGATGCTGGAAAACAAGCATTCAATCAGCCATTGCAGCCAATGTCTGCAGCTCTGATCATTCTATTCTGTCAGGAGGGGGAGTCCTTGCTGTCAGAATATAATGGGGCAGCGGGGGGAGATATCTGCATCCATATCACTTGTGTGGATGCAGGAATCTGTGAGGTTTTGTTTCTGTTCAATCCAATGGTTGAATAAAAAAAATTCACAGTGTGTACCCAGCTACCCAGGAGACAAAGAGAGCAGTAGGGGAAGGTCACGGCAGGACTATCAGATCTGGTTGGACACAACAATATGAATGCATATTAATTGACTATGTGTGCATTATCTGGGGATGGGGGGACTGCATGACAGATCAGCAGTCAGATTATCAACCTAAGACCCCATGTACACGGGACACTTCTGAACGATGGAAACTGACTGCTGGAAAACATAGGTTAAAAAACGTCTGTTTAGCCACGTTTGCATAATGCATGTATGAGAGCGTTTATGCGCATTTGTGTGCGTTTGCATTTAGAAGCATTTTTTAAAGATAAGCACAGGAGAACCTCCAAAATGCCCACAATGCACTGAAAAGTGGTAAATTGTTAACTATTTCAAAATGTTTCAGAGAAATACACAGAGTAGAAACAGAGACAGCAGTATGTGTTGAGATAATTAAGTGGGAGGTGCTCATTAACATTTCTTTTGTTTCCAAGGATAGGAAAGGTGTCTGTTGGAGTGAGTCATTAAGGTCACCTGACAGGGGGTCTTCATGAGGAATTTGAGGTGTGAATGGGCATTAACATATCTTTTGTTTCCAATGATGGGAGAGGTCTGAGGTGTGAATTGGTTATTGCAATGTGTGACAAACTTGGTAGGAACATCCTGTGTTCAGTGTTTTGTCCATCTGAGTACCTTGAAAATGCTTTTCATGCATTTTTCATAATGAAAAAAAGGCTCTGGACAGCATTGGGAACTGGAAGAGTTAAAAAACATTTCAGACGCAAAAGGCTTACAAACGTGATTTGCCACGTTTAGACATGTTTACAAGCATTTACAAGCATTTCGTGTTTGAAACGCTGATAAAATCGACTGCTGAATGCAAGTTTTCTGCGTTCAAAAAAACGACTGTAAACTCAAATGCCTGTAAATGACTGTAAACGAAGATGTGTACATGGACACATAGGAAAACATTAGGGTGAGTTTCCTTGGCTGCTGAAATAAACTGAACAGCTCCTAAAGGTGAATTTATCAGCTGCAGTGTACATGAGCCCTAAAAGACAACACAGGAACACTTGAAGTTGTAATAAGAGATAAGATTGTAAGCTCGAAAGAGCAGGGGCCTCGAACCCCTCGTGTATTGTTTTGTTACTGTATTGTATCATGTACTGTCCCCCGCTATAATGTACAGCGCTGAGCAAACCTTTTAGCGCGATATAAATACTGTATAATAATAATAAGATGCAGCATAGGAATAGGCCATTTGTTATAGTATTCAAAAGCTATATGGTATAAAAAAGGGTCTTGGATTCAATAAAGACCTGCATTATATTAAAATAAGGTATTTGGCATCCAATAGTATTAGATTTCGTGTATTTTTAAAACTGCGCCAGACTTACTTCAGTCTATGAATATTTTTATACAGTTTTAGTCTTTTTACACCTCTGACTGTGGCTTCATTTGTAGGCTTGCAAGTTATATATTCTACAATGATGACTACAAAGCTTGAATATAATAAATTTAAACACTAATGTGTGTAAAGGGTACCCTGAAAATATATAGACTGGCGTAGTTGTTGTTACACAGTGTGATGTTGAATATATGTTGTTTAAAACACATTCTGCCTATGAAATAAGTCATACCTTTGTACATTCCCCCCTTTGTCTTATTAAGTATAGTCGCTATGTTTACTTGCAGGTGTTGCAGGAAATAACATTTATTTGCATGTAATGAATGGTAATTATAGTGCAACAAACACTGAACATTACAGAGCAGAAAAACAACTATTATAGAAATCCTACTGATATATCTGCTGTAAACCATGGATTAAATCTGATATGCTTCAGTTAACTGAAAATTTCCATCAACTTTCTCTGTTTTCCTATATTAATCTAAAATACCTTTAGCAGTTTCTGCAAGGTAATTACTTTATATTCTGCTGCATGTTCAGTTGACAATATATCTAAGGAAAGGAACATATAGACCAATAATAAGACAAATCTTAAACTAAAAAATACTTTTCAAGCATCCCTTGCCCTGTGGCCCCTGACTGTGAATTGCAATTGCTGTACAGTAACTATGATCCTGATGGTTCATTTTGAGACAAATGCAAGTAGTTATAGATGCTGTATCATTGTCAGAAAATCTCTCACTCTAGAACTTTGAGCTGTGGGAAAATGAAATGTATAAGAGTACATATTCATTATAATAGTTTATAAATCCAAGATCATACAGGTCAAGCTTAATACTCACTTTTGGTTGCCTTCCGCATGCCAATTGTATGCCCTTGTGGACGCCTGTTTAACTAGTTAAAGGAAAATGCTTGGTAAAATAAAATATTAAGTGATAAATACGAGAAGTGAAACACTATTTAATGGTTTATTTTTGTTTTGTTTTTAGGAGAAAAATATTTTCAAAAAATGGTTATGGACCTGTAACCAGTGGTGATAAGGCAAATAAGAGAGGCAAGGTTCATATTTTCTAGTGTGTTTTTTAAGGGTGCAATGAGCCTTAGGTGGATTCTGAGGGCTATAGAAAATGATTTAAACTATGCCTCTCTTAAGCTTGAGTATTTTACAAAGAAAAGAAAAGATAGCCAAAAATGTAAATATAAAAAGTAACAGTACACAAATATCTATCAATGCACACAAAATGAAAAAAAAAAAACCACAAGCACAAAGAACACTATAGCATATTTCTAAATGAATGATTGTGATTCAGGCATGTTTGGACACAAGTCTATCCTGCCAGGAAGTTGTCACTGCAGACACCAATCATTAGTGCGGAGGCATTTCCTTTCCAGCAGCCACCCATATACCATGGGCACAGCTGCAGGGTGCCTCCACCACTTAAGATTCACTGTCTGCAGCCATAGCTTCAAAGTGGGATTAGTGTACTAAGGTGGGTTCAGACTTGTGTCTGAACATGCCTGAGCTCGTCATTGACTGTGACATTCACCATATATTCATAAATAGTTATTCATTCCCTATAATTCAAAACACATACACCTGGAAGATTAAGTAAATATTTGGTAAATGTCACATTCATTGCTTTATTATTGTGTCCAAACTAACACACTCCCCATGCACACCTCCAAAAAATACGCCTTTTTTTAACCATCTCCCATCCACCAAAAAAGGGAATGACGGACAGGCGGTGGTTCTTTGGTTCTGGGAGGACATCATATGATGTCCTCCCACTGTAACTGTGCATGCGCTCCGATCGATCGTGCACTGTGTCCTTGGGACACAGCGGATCACCGATCATAGTAAAGAGCCGGTGACACGTCGGTTCTGTCATGTGATCAGCTGTGTCCAATCACAGCTGATCGCATGTAAACAAGGAAATGCCGGTTATCGGCAATCCTCTCCTCATGCTGACAGCTCGTGAGGAGAGGAGAGCCAATAATCAGCATTCCTCAGAGGGGACATCAGTGCCCTGATGATCAGTGTAACCCCATCAGTGCCACCTATCAGTGCCCATCAGTGCACATCAATGACACATATCAGTGCCCACCAGAGCTGCCTTTTAGTGCCAACTATCAGTGCCAGTCAGTGTCACCTATCAGTGCCAGTCAGTACCGCTTATAACTGCCCATCAGTGCTGCCTAACAGTTCCAATCAGTGGCGCTTATTAGTGCCATATATGAGTGCTGCCTTTCAGTGCCCATCAGTGATGCCTGGCAATGCCCACCAGTGATGCTTATCAGTGCCACCTACCAGTGTCTCCTCATCAGTGCCCATCGCTGCAGCCTCATTAGCACACATCAGTGAAGGAGAAAAAATACTTATTTACAACATTTTATAACAGAAACTAAGAAAAAAAAAATTTTTTTTTAAATGTTCAGTCTTTTTTAGTTTGTTCAGCAAAAAATAAAAACTCCAGTGGTAATTAAATACCACCAAAAGAAAGCTCTATTTATCTAAAAAAAGAGATAAAAATGTTTGGGGTGCAGTGTTGCATGACCGCGCAATTGTCATTCAAATTGTGACAGTCCTGACAACTGAAAATTTACCTAGCAGGATGGGGGTAAAAGTGCCTAGTAGGCAAGTGGTTAAAATGGGGGGGGGGGGACACCTAAGCAGCTAAATGAACACAATTGAGATCTTCTACATTAGATTGTAAGCTCCATGAGCAGGGCCCTCCTATTCCTTCTGTACTGAAATGTATTGTAATTGTACTGTCTCTCATATATTGTAAAGCGCTGCTCAAACTGTTGGCTCTATATAAATCCTGTATAATAATAATAATAATAATACATCAGAAAAATGCTACCAACAGTGAATTTTGAAAGTGAAAGTGAGTATTTTCTGGCAAAATGAATTCTTTAATCTCTAGCAGCCAGAGAAAAAGTCTGTCTCACACCATGCCCTCATCCTATTGGCCAACAACTTATCATTATATAATACACTTTCAACTGTGAGCCCTGTCAACCACCGCTTTTCATTTATTAAAATCTTGTAAATTTTAAGTGATTTAAAACATTCACTAGAGCATAGAGAACAAAAAGGAGGGCATGGCAATGTTGCCTTGTAGAAATAAGCAACATATCCGCTTCAAAATGACATGTTTTAAACCTATGTATGAAAGAAGTTAAAGCAGAATTCTAGGCAAATATAAAAGGCACAAATGAATGTAATTCTGCATTTATGAATACATGATCAAATGTAATTTAGATATAAGTACCCAAGAAATGTAAGTACCCAAATTTGACATTGTTGAACCAACACAATATAAATAGCAAAAACAGATAAAGAAACATACTGTAGCTTTAAAAATGTATGAATACAACTGATATCCAATTGAATAAAAAGAAATAGTTTCACTTTAAAATTTAGTAGGACTATAATTACAATTATGACTTGTGAACATAAGGTTAAAAACATTCACATCTCAATGAGGCACATACATTTCCTGTAAAGTATAAACATATAACAGGAATATAAATGAAAGAAACGGGTTACAGTCTTACTTTGAACCATCAGGTGCTATCATGCCTTTTAATCCCATTGATTTTTTTTCTATACTATATGTAGTTGAAGCTTTTACCATAATTTAAAGATACTGTAGATTTTATGTTCATCCATGGATCATTGATAATGGTTGTGACTAGAGATGAGCGAATTATTCAAAAATTCGATTCGGCTGATTCGCCGAATTTGCGGAATAAATTCGATTCGATGCAAATTTATTCGCTGCGAATTTAACTTATTAAAAGGGTTTCTAGGCTTCAGAGAGCCTTTATATTAGTGCAGAACACTGTACCTTTAATTTAAATGCCCTTGGAGTCTGCTGGGGAAGAGAAATAATACTGTCAGTCAGTATGACATGCAGATGAGTGCCGTCGATCTTAGAATCACCGCACACTTCACTCATTTGGGCAGTCACGGGGCCAAAACCAGAGTGTGGAGCCACAGTGTGGCGGTGGAGGCAGCAGCAATGGGAGGCCATACAGCACCCTATGACAAAATGGAACCCACCAGCAGTGTGAGGAGACCTGAAAGTGGCACATGGCAGAGTGTGGCGATGGAGACAGCAGCAATGGGAGGCCGTACAGGGACCCATGACACACTCTGGACCTGGAGGCGGTACAGGGGCCCATAACAGATTACGGGCCTGGCAGCAGCATGAGGAGTCGGTACGGGGGCCCATGGCAGATTACGGGCCTGGCAGCAGCATGAGGAGGCGGTACAGGGGCCCATGGCAGAGTGGCGAAGCGTAAGCAGCTTAAATTGAAGGCCATACAGAGGCCTATGTTAAAAAGTCCCCCCAGCAGCAGTGTGGGAGACGACTATCAAGAGTCCAATGGCAGAGTGGCGGAGCAGAAGCAGCTTCAATTGAAGAAGAAGAGGATGAGGATGAAGAAGAAGAAGAGGATGAGGATGAAGAAGAAGAA